CCTTTTCCGGATGGTTCTCTTCCGCTGAATCAGCGTCTGCTGTTTGCTCTCTGTATGCTTCCTTGTGATCCACAGACTGCGTGTTTGAATGCTGGAACCTCGGTAGCACGCCGAGCTGTTTTAGGCTCTCGCCCTGCCTCGCGATCACCATCTCCAGGTACTTGCTGTGTTCTTCTACTTGCAGCTGCATCTTTCTTTGGAGCTGTGAAGAGGGGGAAAAAATAAAAGAGAACCCAAATTACTAAAATAGATGGAAGTTCACACGTCTGTTCTTGCCAGTTACAAGGAGAATATGCATACCTCAAGCTGTGCATGAAGTTGCTTCTGCAAGCCAATCTGAGTTCTTAGCCCTTCACTGGCCTCCATGTGTCTGCACCAAGTGTAAAGTGAATAATTAGAACTCTGGAACTCGCACAGACACAACTTTACTGTGGACTGGGCACTGAGCCATTTTATGGATGTCTTTGAAATACTGTACGTCTGAACCTAAAATAGATTACTGATGGCATACATATCTTGCAGGTTGGTGCACAGGTGGTACATATATACAACATAAATTTACGTCAAGACAGTCTTTACAAGAGTAATAAAAGCAAAGATATAAATTTACGTCAAGACAGTCTTTACAATAGTAATAAAAGCAAGGGTATATCAGGTAATGATTATCTCACTTCATGTTCTGGGAGCAAACTTCATCCATGTGGTTGCTTCTCTCTGCTGAAGTGCCTGCTAAAGTACAGAAAATAAAAGTAAGCATAAAATCCTACATTTCAACAATTTTCTTTAAATTTGACTACAGGCTGCACATAAATAACATAATGTAAAAAAGCAAGAACAATGATAACGTTAAAGTAACAAGTCTACTGAAGTATCCTACTCCCTCCATCCCAAAATATAAGAACGTTTTTGACACTAAACGTTCTTATATTATGGGACAGAGGGAGTAATTCACTACAATATAATAGTCCTTGTATGTTTTGCAATGGTGACATTAAACCAGCGGTGCGACATAGAGAAACACACAAACCATCAGACGATTCAGATTGATGGCGAACTGTACGATACTTCTGCAAAAGAGTAACCCGCGGCCATCAGGAAAATACAGAAGAAATAAAAAAAACTCACTGAAAACTCAGAAGGAACAAATGTAGACCTGTAGATGGCTTTTTACATGGTATATAGTTAGCCCTTCAACCTTCATAACTTTCTGGACTGCTTTTGGAGTTGCTTCTGCAGAAAGAGGGCTTAGATACATGGAAAATGTTTAGCAAAAAAGCTACTCCCTCTGTTCATTTTTGTAAGACATTTTAGACAGCTGAAATTAAACTGTTTTGGGTGTTGTCTTAAATGTCTGAAACGTCTTACAAAAATGAACAGAGGGAGTACAACAAATACCGACATGACTGTACAGTCAGAAACATGTTAATATTTCCGGTTTAAAAGCATACATTGCCCCATACAATTTCATCAGTGAGCAAAGCACGATTAGCAGAAAATAAAGCGTAAGAAAAACTCCATTTAAAAAAGCGTAAGAAAGCATCAGTGATCATACTTTCACTTCCACCAAGCTTGTCAACAGCGTCAACAAACTTCCCATGGAGCTCAGGCGTCCAGCGCATCCTTGACTTGGTTGGAGTAGTGTCTGAAGAAGGTAAATTGTCACTGCAAAGTTCATCCACGTTGAAAGAACTCGAACCGTTTTTCTGCCCATGAAAATATGCATAATTTGAAGGTGTTGTACTTGCATCAGCTGCCTGCAAATGAGGTGGTAACTTCATTAAGCATGTGGGACAAACTTCAACAATATTATCTGAAAAAGGTTGCATCTGGAGCTGCAAGAAGGTGGAGTGTTCTCCCAAATGGAAAAGAGAAGACACTGAAAACTCCTAGAATAATTAGAGCAAATCACGAGCAGAAAAAGAGTCAAATGAGATGGATACCTTAAGCACAGATCCACCAGAACCTGAACTTCCCAGAAAATGCTCTGAACTCCCAGATGAGTACCACTCTTTTTGCTTTGCAAGGTGGGTAATATGATCAATTGTAATGATGTCTTGGCTTTGTTGGCTGACAATCACATTTCGTTGATCAGAAACATCAATGGTTGCTGGATATCCAAATACTCCTGGGAGTGGTTCTTGACCCAAGTTTATTCCTTCAGATACTTTGGGATAGACCATCCTTAAATAATCTGGATTAGCCATGTATGATGAATGTGCTGATGGCAGTGAAGTATCACAACCAGATATTGCAATAACATGTGATCCAAAAGACAGTTTCCCTTTAGGTGATCCATTGTTGATACGAAGATCTGAAGTGAAACTGGAAGCTGACATATATGGCTGGCATAGGGTATCGAATGAGGTGATAGAACTACAGCTCATATCCCTTTCAATGTAAGATGTCCTATACTCTGAAAAACTAGGGACTGTGACTTCAGAGAGTACTGGTACTAGATTAATATCTGATGAAAGAAACCGAGGAACTTCTCCATTGTGAAACTGACTCATTATTGATGTATGGCTGTGTGCATTACCCCTTGGATGATCCACCTCAGCCCATTAAAATAGATCTTCTGTCATATCATTGGAGAAGTGTAAGGGCCAATCAGATTCTAACTTGGAAAGGAAAACAGTGAAGACATATTTTTCTGGCCTTGTTCAATCGTTGAGATAATTGGAGCGTCTTATTTTCCCAGGTCACTGACTAGCGAGAATTTGTCTTCTACATATATGCAAGACATTAGAAAATTATTACTATAAACCCCCAAATAGCAAATCAGTGAGGTTCTTAAAATTGTGAATATCAAGCAGGTTATGCCTCTTAGTAAAGAAAAATCATAGTTGAATACCGGAATTATGATGTGAATCGCACATTGGTAATTGCCAGTTATACTTCTAGAGACTGCGAGTAAACTAAAGATTGTGTAATCAAGAAGTAACAGGAACAAACTGCAAAGGATTGAGACACATGTGCAATATGATTTGCAGATTCAATCCCTTCTTAAACATAAAATATAAAAAGCAAAGAAGTATCCAAGAACTGAATAGAACAAGCCCCGACTATTGCAGCAGTTTCCATAAGGAACATAATTGATGGAATAGAAGAACCAAGAACTAAATCTTCTTTTTCTTTGAAGGGGAAACAAATAACTAATCTGAGAGAGAAATCAGACAAAAGAGTTGCAAAAAAAGAGTAACTTAATGCAGATTCTGCGTTGCTGTTACAGAATTACTTGAATCGATGTTGATACTTACTTGTTTCTTTGGAGAACGGGGTCATAGAAGAACAGGGATTAAAGTTTTAAGCAAAGATGTGTTACTAGGATCAATTCAGGGGCTAAGAATGGAAAGGAGTTCAATTCGTTGTGTGCATAGGGGAGGGTAGGTGGGGCTATGGCTCTAGAGGGGGACCCTGAATCTGCTAAATGTATCTAAAGTACTATAACCATCAAGCAGATAGTCCACCAATATTTTAAACTGACTCCATTTTATTTTAAGAATGGGGACCACATGGAGTTACTTCCTGTGTAATGGATATTTTTAAAACCTGCCAGCTATTGACTTGTTGTATGCATCAACCACCCAGAGGTAGATTGATTAGAAAAAATTAAAGCTTTACAAGGCAGAACATAGATATACATGCTGCCAAGGCAGAACATAGATATACACTGCAAAGGAAACTATGGCAACAGATATACAGCTGCCAGTTTGGTCTGACCGAAATACAGAAGTTGTGAATTAACCTATTACACCGATCAGTTAGGAGCTTGTAGAAAAGAACTGACACGGTTACATAAAAGCAGTTTCAGGACATGGTAGAGCTATCTTGCCCAGGCCTTATGCTTGGCTCTAAACCATGTGGATGAAGCAAATATTCCATAAAACAATAAGCTTGCAATCATGGAGTATCTTTTTGGCAACTAGGTGCTTTGGAGTTGACAAACCCAATTTGGCATGTAACAGAAGGTTGTTTAGAAGCTGGCATGACAACGTCTCTTTCTAAATTACCTTATCCAAAACTATGCATCTTCTCATTTTGTATGAATAGGAACAGCTGGAATACAGCACTTCGTAAATAATTTATTAATCATGCTTTAGAGTTCTGACCTGGTGCAGGTGGAGTCTAGAAGCACTAACAGGCAAAATAATAGGGAAGAAAATGTTAGCTGCGTATTGGTTAGATGCAAATTAGAAAATGATTTTCTTCAGTAACTTCATCAGAGGAAAAAAAAATGCAGTCCCGCTGTTGATTTAATTCCATGATTTACACTTTGACCACAACTAGATCTACAATATGTGGATCATGTCATACAAAATTGACATGTCATTCGTACTTTAAAAGATTTTCCTATCGTTGTGAATTTGTAACTATGAAGACTGTATTGTACAACAAGTTTATGGTCAAAGTTCAACCTTTTAAAGCACGGACACCTTATGTAGATCAACATAAGGAGTGCTTTGGTTGGTCTTTTTTTTTCCTAATGGGATTTGTCTGCCATGATACTACCAGCCGACCAGGCTAGATTAAAGAGACTGCTTTGTATCTTCAAAATAAATATAAAAATGATTTAGCAGACATCAGTCAAACCACGATTGTCCAACAAACACCCTAGAAGACTCATGTCTCATTGGCCAGAAAAAAGAGAACAAAAGATAAGAAAAAATACGATGCAAATTAATCACCTAAATTGAAGATGTGTTGGACAAGAAGATAGTTGCATTTCATCATAGATTGTCAACTTGGAAGGCGGAAAAGGAGGAAAAAGAACCTATTCAATCTTCGTATTAGACCAGTTTATATGCAGTGACTTTTGATCAGTAACAGTTTTCAACTTTTTATCATGCAGAAAGTGTATTGATTTCCTGCTGTTTAACATTCATCATATCACCATCATCACACATGCAAAGTAATTTACTGCAGCCAGCCTGGAAAATAAATTACTTCGAGTGGAAGTGCACATTGCAAATCTCCTGTATTGTCTTGAACTACCGCCGCTACTAAACCATTGGATGAGGTTGTTGAACATGGAAAGCGTAGAGACATTGAATCCTTTCGGCAACCTCACCTAAAACAAAGAATAGGTATTTTTAGAGAGTTCGCAGCACTGGATGGGTTTTCCATTTGAAATTTGAGAAACGGAGTAGTTACAACTATGAAACTACTTACAGCTATCATGTTGCTCTATTCCATCTCTTCTGCAATTACATTTCCTGAAATTGAAGCAATAAACTTTCACGATGAGAACTGGTACGAAAACTTGGAAATTTAACATAGCTTATAGTAAATACTTGGCTATTGGTAATACCGTTCTGTGAAAACAGCTTCATCAAATTGCTTATCTATTTCAGCAAGGTATATTTCAAACAAGCTCGACCTACAAGATACAATGCATATATTAAACTTTTTACATGATCACACAGATCAGCAGGGACACACTTTAGGGTAAAGAGCAAAAAGCTCACCGTGGCGGAATTGCTGCAGCAGTAAGAACTGGAGGTAGAAGCCATAATATGTGCGGTTTACTTTCCAATGACTGCCTTGCATACTCAAGAATGTCATTTTCCTGTTGGAGTTGGATGGTTTGGTTAAAGAAACTTTCAAGATGGTTATACTAACAGCTTCAAGAAACTGTGAGGTTTCAGTGCAAAAGGGAAGATGGTAACAACAAATCGACAGCAGAGAAAAATACTAGATTTCACATATATTATGTCCACATCACATATTTTACTTCCTGAGAAAGCCCTGAAAGGCATGCTCCTTATAAATCATAACCAATAAAGGCAGCAGGCAGCCAGTAGCCTATTACTCAATTTTGAGGACGCTTTTTTGGAAATTTGGCAGCTCTCTTCAATGAATGGTCGATGTCAAGTTCTTGTCAGCTGCCAAAGCACGGTTCAGTAACTGTATTGCGGATTTGATTTCATCTGGTTATTAGTGTTCCTTTCATCTGGTTATTAGAGACACTAGATAGTTGACACAATGGTGCTTAACAGTACTTGTCATTGAGGTGTAACTGTTTTTGAGGTTCTTCCCAAATTTGCATAGCTGCCCACTTGGTTTACAGGGATAGGATTCCTTCATTTTAAAATGCTGTCACCAAAACTGATGTTTGCAAGAAATTGATGCTGGGCAAAAGCAAGCTGCAAACAAGACATAAGATAAAAGACACAAAGAACCTTCAAATTACGAATCTTGTCTGGGCATTCACCCCGATAAGTTCCCTGAAGCAACTGGTGCAGATCAGCATACTGCTTGGATATAGGAAGGGAACTAAAAATATGCGACACAAAGCTCTCTATCAATGTGTCCCATCGCCTTGAAACCAAACCCAGCAAGCATATCTCCTGTAAAGACAAATGCATATATTGTTGATATTCTAGCAGAGAATGAGTACATAATAGTGCAGGTGATTAAAGGATAAGCCAAGAATAGGTACCATGACTTCAACGAGGCCACTCTGACAAGAATCTGCAGAAACTGTTAATGGTTCAAACACCTTCATCCACTGCTCCTTGGGAGCACTAAAGATAAAACTAGATCCAGACACAATCCTAACGGTGCGTTCATCAAGTAAGTATGACAAACACCGCCCTCTCCACTGTTTCCACCGAAGAAAATTCTCGATGGTTTGTGATTTTCTGCATTGTGAAGTTTCATGTGAGTTCAAACTGTAGCATGCTACCATGGAAAACAAACAACACAATACCGAAGCTGAGTGTGTTTAAGGGCTTATGTACCTAGGGATCACTGGGCTGCCTGGATCACTGAAGCTGTTCTTCACGCTGTCCAGAAGTGTGCGCAGTCCTCTCTCAGCCAGAGAAATACACGATGCTGAATCCAACCGCTCCAGAAGCTGGTTAACCAGAATCTGCGAATGACCCACAACCAAGGATTCTGCATACAGTCTATCAGAACTAGTGGTGGGAACTCCAACATCGCCGCCACTCTTGGTCCGCGTCAAACCAGACAGATACATATTCAGGATCGACTTCACATACTGCTGGCACGCATCACGCCCACCACCAGCACCAATGCCATCGATATCCATCCCCACGACCGCTTCGAGAAGAGCACGGATGTTCTCCACGCTCGTTGTTTCGGCTTTCAGAAAATGCTTTATGACCAGCTCGGTGGCCGCCGAGAGCGTCTCCGATCGCATGTCGGCGAGGCCCTGCGCGGCATGAAGCAGAACATCAGCACCCACATAATCATAACAAACATTTCATACATGAAACGGTCCATGGGAAGCACCTTGGGGAAACCCGGGCTTGAGGCGAGCACGGCGAGCGCCGCGTCGAACTCTCTGGCGGAATCCTCGTACTGTCCGGACTCACGCAGGTTCCTGAAGACCTGAACGCAACAATGCAGGAACAAATTGGTCATGCCATGGCACCTCACATACAGCATTCTGCAACACACAAATCCTGCGGGTGGCAAGTACGGGCTGGGACTGCGCGTGCGGCACATCGAAGACGGTAACCAGCGCCATGGCGTGGAGGGGCAGGAAGAGGCGAAACCTAGCGCGGTCGAGCGGGGGAGGGGGATCGCGGGGCGTGGTATTACCTCCTCGAAGAAGAACGCCCAGCGGAGGGCCTTCTGGACGTCGCCGGGGCGCCAGGTGGCGGCGGCGCCGGAGGAGGCGCGGCCGCCGGCGAGGACGAGGATGTCGACGAACCCCGGCACCAGGGCGAGCACCTCCTCCATGGCCGCCATTTCCTCCTCAGTCTCAGACCCCTTCCTTGCAATTCCGGCTTCCTCAGGGACGGATCGGCAAGAAACCAGCCCCCAAACCCAAAGCCCTAATTTCTTCCGCGCCCTTCTTTTCATAAACCACCCCATGCTATCCTACATTTACGTGTCACAGCTTACAAAGCCCCTGGCCGGGGACGCGGGTGATGTTGGAGAAGTGCGCCAGGGGTGTGCGTGCATAACGGCCGCGAAGCCCTAGACGCGGCCGCTATATAAGCGGGAGGATCGCCTCCCATCCTCCCCCTCCGCCGCCGCCGGGTACCACCCCCTCTTCCAAGATGTCGAAGCGAGGTACGGCGAAAAATTCCCCCCTTCCTCCATTTCTTCCCAGCATGATCTTGCTTGGCCTCCTCGTGGTAGTCTCGTAGCGTAGTACTGGTTGGATCGCGCGGCGTTGTGTGCCTCGATTTGGAGGCCGAGCGCGTGTTTTCTTGCTGCTGGTAGTCGCGATTTGTGGCTGTTCTTGGTGCGAATTTGGTGGTGGTTTAGATCCGTCGGTGGTTGTTTAGGAATGGATCTACTCAGATGATTGTTGGTGCGAGGTTGCTACCTGCTGGGCCCGTGTAGTTGCTTGCTGTACTGATGTGGGATGGATCGTTTCCTTTCCCGTGTTTAAATCCACGTTAGGGCCTTAGAGGGGGTTGGAAGTGAACATATCTGCGACGCTCTAATCCTTGTAAGTTGCTAGATGTTTGTTAGCTCGTACGGTGCATGGTGCTTTTCTCCCATTTTTACTGGCCTGGGGAGTAATTTTATTTTATCTTTGATGAAGCCTTCGGGCAGTTGCATGGCTCTGCCCAATTGGGCAGATGATTGTAAATTTTATCAGATGCTTGTGTTTATCTTGGCTCTGTAAGTAGATATAATCCTTGTTTAACTTTGGAGAAACGTTCATGATATTGTGTAATCATAGCGTGTGTGTGGCTGTCATGTATCTCTAGATTATTGGTTTAGTGCACTGTAGATATATGTGATCCTTTTGTCTAACTATCTCCTTGTGTGTGCTTGTTCTTGAACTGCAGGGCGCGGAGGTTCCGCTGGTAACAAGTTCCGGATGTCGCTGGGTCTGCCAGTGGCAGCCACTGTCAACTGTGCTGACAACACTGGTGCCAAGAACCTGTACATCATCTCCGTCAAGGGAATCAAGGGGCGCCTCAACAGGCTTCCTTCTGCCTGCGTTGGTGACATGGTTATGGCCACTGTCAAGAAGGGAAAGCCTGACCTCAGGAAGAAGGTCATGCCGGCTGTCATCGTCAGGCAGCGCAAGCCGTGGCGCCGAAAGGACGGTGTCTTCATGTACTTTGAAGGTATGGCTGAGTTCTTATGGTGAATGGGTCATTCTGTGCTAGTGTACTGTAGTTGTTTAATCTGCCTAGTGAGTTTGCTGTCTATTAAGCTGGTAGTTGCCACTGTTTATTTTTTTGAAACCACTTGCTTTACATGTTGTATGGTATTTCTGTGAAATTACACTTGCCTGTTATTACTTGCTGGAAGCAAATTTAATTCATCATGTACATATTCTATGTCATTGTTTCATTATTATCACATGAAGAGTGAACACCTCTTCACTGTGGTCATTTGTCACAATGAAGCGCATGCAAATTGGCCAGAAGAACATCATAGTACAATCTTCTGTTGAATTATGTAATCACCCCTTGGCACATGTTATAAGCATCTCAGCTGATAAACTGTCAACATCTTTTCTTTCTCCATGTGAGAATGCTTTAAACCGCTGCCTTTTTCCCCTTTCATGTGAGAATTGTTTAGTCCTGAAGCTGTCCGAGGCTTTCCGTGTATTGCATTCTGATGCTTTGGCCATGCAAGTGTTGTTGGATCACAGTGACTGGTTTTGTCAAAATTCAAATCTAATGTTTCTATGTCATATTTGCAGACAATGCTGGAGTCATTGTGAACCCAAAGGGAGAGATGAAAGGTATAAATCAGTTCTTGGTAGATTCAATTTTGCTCTGCATGTTGCATCAATTGAAAGTGACAATCTTTGAATCTGTATTATACATGCTGTATGTGATGCAATGCTTCTAGCTGATTAAAGCAGATCAATACATTTAGCTTCGGTAGTTATTTCCATGCAACTTCTGACTATATCATAGCTGGATGAACAGCCTGACTGATTCAAGCATCCATTGGTTGTGCAGGTTCTGCCATCACTGGACCGATCGGGAAGGAGTGCGCCGACCTGTGGCCCAGGATCGCCAGCGCAGCGAATGCCATCGTCTGATCTGATCGCCGGAGCAGCTAGATGATCAAAGCTTTTGATAGCATGTCCCTCTTTTCTTCTAGTTTACTTGTGGCCCTTGAGGATGAGTTTCCTGGATTATGTAATGCTGCTGGATTATGGTCTGTTAGGTTTAAGATTTTGCACTGTGGTTTGGCTACTAAGATTTGTTCAGTTTGAACCTGAAAGAGCTTTTGATCGGATTTATCTTGTGTCAAGTATTCACCTGAGAAGTCTGGCTTGGATGTTAATTAGTCTGTTGCTAAGTGTGCTAGCTTGTGATGAACTGGTGCGTGTTTGCCATGTTTTTCTAAGCATTGCTGAGAGGCCAAACTAAGCTGCAAATATGCAGTTGCCATGAACAAAAAACCTACAGTTCTGGAGAATTCTTGTTCCTTTTGCTGCGGCTTGAATAATTTGACGATATTTGTTATTTTACCGTGTTATGAGGAAACAAGTACGTTGGTGAATGTGACAAGGTGTGCCTTCTTAGCAACTGTTCAAAATGCAGAAACTAAAAAAATTTGGAAAACGGTGCTTTGCTTTTCTAGGCCAAGTTGGGAGCCCAAGAACATGTCCGGGAGAGAGGCATCATGGACCGATTCGTGCTCTGTATCCCAAAAAATCTATGAGATGCATGAAGGCACAAACAGCAACTATGAGAGCATTGTAAAAGAGAATAAGCAGCGAGCAGCCCATTTTAACTTCAAGTTTATCTTCAAAGGATGAACGGCAAATAAAGAAGCAAAGAAGCAGATAGTTTAGCGAGTTGGCACGTCTTGAACCAGGTAAACTCACTCTTTAAAAAATTATTTAAAATGTCAAAAAAAAAATAGAACAAAATTTCGTGCATACATGTTTGCAAAAAAATGTCCGCTGCACAAAGTTCTATGAAAAAATTCTTTTTATTTCATCAGTGTAAAAAAGATAGATTTTATTTCTAAACAGTATTCGACGACACAATGTTTTGTCTTTCTTGCACAGCCCAAAAAATGTTATTTTTCCGTGAAACTTTAGAATATGGACATGTCCGCGTGCACCTTTTCCTAGAATTTTAGAAAACGTTTCCCACCGGACGAGCGCTCGGCCGCTCGCCCCTCGCTCGCTCGCTCTATCACGTGGGAACAGGCACATGCGTTTTGTGGGCCTCAAACGATTTTCTGATCTCTTCCTATGCATTTTTTTCTCTCCTACTTTTTCTCTGGCCTTATCGCTTCTTCATCTCACCTCAGTCCCCACACATCTAAAATTACTCTCCCACCGACGCAACAACCACAAATATCTAGTATCTTTCGCTGGAATCAGCATTATCTTTTTGCTGCATGAGTGCTACAGCCAGTTTTGTGCAACCCGCAAAGCTACAACCACAACCAATCATGAATAAGTTTCAATCGGAGATGGCGGAATCTAGGGGGTCAGTCAGTGCTGCAACCATTGACAGAAAAGGCTTCAACCATAGATAAAAAAAGGTTCAACCAGGCACTGAAAAAAGAAAAGGCTGGAAACATTGACAGAAAAAGGTTCAACCAGGATACCGTGCAACGAAAAAAAGCTTCGATCGTTGATAGAAAAAGCTTCAACAGTAGATGCAAAATATTCAACCAGGACACTGTGCAATGGAAAAAGCTACGACCATTGACAAAAAAATGCTTCAATTGTATATGAAAAAGGCTTCAACCGGCATAGGAAAAGCTTCTTGGAGGCTCGCGCTTCCATGAAAGCTGCAATGGCCCAGCAAACTGCTACATGAGTGCTTTTTTAGTTGTAAATTTATACTAGAAAATATGTAGAAAACATATAACAATTTTGCTTCCATAGTTTTTTTTTGTTGTGAGCTTTTTTTTGCACAATGCTACATATGTTCTTTTTTCGTTGTAAAAGTACTGAAATTATGCTACAAACATATGATTTTTTTAATTTGTGTTTTTTAGGCTTTTGTTATGCACTTTTTGCTGCAATGCTACATACAAATACAGTTTAACAACAGGCGCAGATCTTCTGCGTACATTTTTTATTGAAACTATTGTGTGCACATAGCAGAGACAAGTCACAATCATCATTTTGATGGGCTCCACCCACGTGACAGCATGCAACATCCATGGCGCATGGGACAAGCGACGTCCGGGCGATGCTGGTGGGCCACCAGCGTACAAAAAAGGAAGAAGAAAGGAACGACGTGCGTAGACGATCAGACGGATTAAAATAATCGAATCGGACGACCTACACGCGACCGGCCGAAACTTTTTGGGCATTTTGAAATTTGTTTTTTAAAATGGGTTCATATGTATTCGGATTCATCCATGCACTTTTAATAGTTTATCTAAGTTTTTGAATTCTTTGGATAAGGGGTGCCATG